CTATATGATAATCAGGCATTGCCTGATAGACGATAGGAGCCCACTGCCACATGTAAATAAAGCATACTATGAGCACCTATCAGCTGAGGCTTTGGCTACTGCCTCCACACTATAGTTTCTCTAGTTCTCCCACTGAATAAACGGAGCTGTCTCACTGAGTCTGGAGCTGTATCACTGCATCTAGAGCTGTTTCTGTTTCACATGGAACCAGCCTCCCCGGAAGGGCTTTCTTCCGTCAGTGCTCACTGGCCGTCCTGACTCCGTTCGCCGCGTCTGCTCCCCCTGCCCTTGTGGACCGGTGGCCAGCGACCCGCGAAGAGAGGGAGAGACCCCTGCAGCTTGAGACCCCCGCAGACTCCAGTATTCATTTAGTGAGAAGTTCAGTATTTCATTTAATTCAGGTTTACAAATGTTTATTGAGCACCTGTGATGCCCCAAAGTGCCACTCTAGGCAGCAGTGATAGGTGCTCATCAATAAACATGTTGGCACATAGCAGTGGAGGGAGGGATAGCATCAACCAGGAGCACAAGCTGAACAGTACAGATACCCAGTGACTTTAGATAGAAGCTTTTCAAATTTCAACCCAGTAGACCCAGCACTTTCTGCATTAGTTTGCTAAAATCTCAGTTTCTCCTTATTTTCAAAAAAGAAGAAAAAACCCAAGAGATTCTGATTTACAAATATGACTCTCAGACAAAAGCCTTTTGAAAATTGCTCTAAAATTATAGCTAGCAGTCAGATAGCACCACTTAAATGGTGGGTGGTAGGTAACTTTTCTGTGCACTTTTCGTCTATTTGTGCACACACATGTCAAAGCAGCCTTATGAGGGAACCCGACATTCTTGTTCCCATTTTTTTTTTTTTTGGTCTTTTTGAGACAGGGTCTCCCTGTAGCTCCAGATGGCCTGGTGAACTCACAGAGATCCACTTGCCTCTGCCTCCCGAGTGCTGGGATTAAAGGCGTGCCCAGCTATCTTGTTCCCATTTTCTAATGAGGCTGGTAAGGTTCTTGCCCAAGGCCATGCTGATGGTGCCAGGGCTCAGGTCCAGGCAGGCCTATGTTTTGACACTTTGCTGTTGTGTGACATTATTTCTGGGGAGATGTGAACAAACATCTCATCCCAGATAAAGATGACAGGCATAAATGAGGATTTTACCAAAATTCAACTTGGCGAACCAATGGGTTTTATAGGGGTTACTTACATGAGTATGGGTAAGGGTTTACTTTCAGGGGCAGAAATGACTCAAAGACATTTGCATCACCAAAAGCCCATCCCAGCATGGGCAGTAGCTCACAAAGCCAGAAAACCTGAAGTGCATTGCAGATGGCTCAAGAGGTTGGAGAGTGTTCCTTCCAGGAAGGTCAGTTGGCCTGAGTCTCTTCCAGGCAGCTTGTCTGGTCCAAGAGTGTCTCTCAGTAGTCTTTAGGGATTATATATGCCTGAAGAGGGAGGATCCTAGTGAACATTCTGAAGAGGTTCTGAAAGCCGCAGATATGCCTTTGGTCTAGGATAGGATCCAAACTCAAGGACTCATAGGCAGTCTGCCTTTGGTCTAGGATAAGATCCAAGCTTAAGGACTTATAGGCAGTCTGCCTTTGGTCTAGGATAGGATCCAAACTCAAGGACTCATAGGAAGTCTTTTGCTCTCTCTCTCTAGATACAGCAGCTTGGACAGGGGTAGTAATGAAAGCTTGCCCATATGCCTGAAAAGATATAAACCATAGCATGATCTTTCTTGATCTTTCCTGTGGGCCATATCACATCACACTGCTAAAAGTGACATTTAAGCAAAAAGTGGTATATGAATTTTGGTATAGGAAAGTTGAAAGAGTATGGTAGTTGTCATAGACAGAAATACCCTGGAGGGTGGCCAACAGCTTCTGAGGCTTACAGAACAGAGTCCCCTGGTGGGTTGGCCAGATCTTGTCTGATGCATGGATTTGCAGGCCAGTAACTAGTTTTTGTTGGAGCAGAATTTTTGTTCAGATACAGAGGGGTTGTCTCATGTTAACGAAGCTTACAGTGAAGGGAACAGACCTCAACATCAAAGCCTCTATTTACAAACAGGAGATGGTATGTCTAGGTGACAAGAGCATGATGTCGGATAACCAGGTACCTTTTGAGGTCAGCCATCAGTGGTTCCTGGTGACTCCAGAGTCACAATAGAGGAACATATTTTTCCAGGTTGTGGTAAAGCTTATAGCCATCTCTGTCCTGTAGCAGGGAATAAAACTCTAAGGGCCTGAAAGTCCCCAATACCAGCACAGGATGAGTAGCTGAGGCCTTTCCATCGCCACATTAAAGTAGAGCATGCTCCTTTGTTCGGTGTGGCTGAATGTCCTTGTTTAAATGACTACTTCTGTCAGATATGCACTGCCACACCTGACAGAAGAGTAATTCTTTAAAGAAAGTTAGGGTGCTCTTAAGAAATGAAGCTAGGAGCTGGGTAGATGACTCAGTGGGTAGGTCACTTGCTGTACAACCATGAAGACTGGAGTTCAGATCCCCAGAACCCATGTAAAAGCTGGATGTGGTAGTGCCAGGATCTGCAATCTCAGTGCACCCCTACTGGGAGATAGGAAGTAGACACAGGGGAATCTCTGGAAGCTCACAAGTCTGTTAGCCTGGTGAACACAGCAGTGAACAAGGAAGAGCCCATCTCAAACAAAATGGAAGGCAAAGAACACGACATCTGAGGTTGTCCTCTGACCTCCACAGGTGTTGTGGCATGCATGTGCCCACACTCACACACAGGGATGTGCACACACATGAACACACATACACACACACACACATACACATGAACACACACACATATCCCATATTTAAAAAAAAAAGAATGGAACTAAAAGCCAGGCTGCTGCAAAGCAACAGATGCCCACAGTGGCTGATTGAAGCTCAGGAGCCAAAGACTCTCAGGGGCATACTTACAGTAAAAAGAAATTGTGTTTTCTTGGCAAGGGGGTGAGGAGGAGGAAGGTCTCTTCTGGATGAGATGTTCTTTAAAAGTGGCTCAACTCAGACTAATTCTCTTCATCATGTTCATCTAGAAGGCAAACACATGCACACTCACAGGTAAGCACAGCCCTGCTTGATGCTCTCTGGTTGTGACAGGCTCCTGAGGGGGAGGTACTCATAGGCCCCTGGAAGTTTCCCCACTGGGAACAACTGGCCAAAGGGACTCCCAGATAGTGACCCAGCATAGAACTGGGAAAATGAACAGCAGACCCAATCTTATCTAAAGGAATACTGACAACTGATTGCTGCTAAGTGAGGAAGAGCTGACCTTCCTAATACAAAGCCCTCTAGATAGGCTGACTAGAGTCAATGGATGGATGAGTAGTGGGGAATGGCTGGGGGGCTGGCAACATAGCAGACAGTAGCAGGGATATCAGAGTATAAGGGCTCTAGTGGTGGGAGGGAGGCTATGGGAGGGTGCCATCTGGGAAGTGGGTGTATAGTTGAATAAGATGGTTTGGGATGTTCTGTGTGATATACACACAAAAAAATCAACAAATTTAAAAAATGAGTTATATTTGATGAGGAAGCATAAAAATTTATGTCATGTTAATTAGTAGAGGTGATAAACATTACCACTGAAATCTACCTGACAACTTTATAGACATACTCAGGTGCCAAGGATCCAAATGCAACTGACTATGCCTGGTAATAATCAGATACATACAGATTAGGGACGCATGTGCCAACATCTAAGAGTTATTAGCAAAAACACTCTATCCGATGACTTTATAGACATACACAGGTGCCAAGGATCCAAGTGCAACCCATGATGACTAGTAATAATCAGATAT